TAATTTGTTTTTTAGCTTCACCTCTTTTAAGGCCAGAAAATAGTAGAGTGGGTGACTTTGGTTAAGGTTGAAATGTTTTAGGAGTGGAAATCACCAAAAACACAGCCTCAGCCCATATCAGAATACACACACACACTCATACACACATACACATTCCTTAAAAACATCAGTCATTAAAGCCTAGAGTTTTTTTTTTTTAAACACCATGTTTAAGAATTGACTCCACAGAAAATGACAAGTCTTAAATTCTAACTAGTGGCTAGGGCCTCTATTTTATGACTCAGACTTTCTGTTCTTGTTAGGAGATGGAAGGAGAGCAGTACATCTTGGTTTATTTAGTTTTTCTCCAAACCTACTTATCAGCTAAGGTTACTATGAAGGCTGAAGTTATGGGATGGGTCAATTCTATTTTAAGCAATGGAAGATACACTGTGATTGCCTGTTTTATATTAATTTTCTTTCCATGGGCCAGCAACTAAAGCATTTTTTATTTTTTCAGAGGTAATTGTTTAAAGCCACCTGTATCACTCAGTGTTTTCACTTGCCTCGGGAATAATTAGAGGAAATCTATTGCAAACATGTCATGGGATGGGATAAAAAAAATGTAGTGAATACCTTCAAAGTCTTAGTGCATTTTATTATGTGTTGTAAATTTCACATATTCAACTTGACTCTCTCCTCTAGCTCCTCTGTCCCACCTCACTCCCACACCCATCTGAAAGATAAAAATATGTGAATGCTATCTACTCAGACTTTTAGAGAGTAGTAGCAGCAGCTTTGAAAATCTTTCAGCACAGTTCCTCTAATCTGTGACATCATTTAACCATAGTGACTCACATTTGTGTAGGTATTCAGGACTTACAATATTTTTGCATTTGAGCCTTACACAACCCAGTGAGATAGAAAAAAGAAGAATTGTTACTATTCTTGTGACAACAGAGAAAATTGAGCCTCTCAAAGACCAAGTGATAACTTAAGCCAGCTAGCTAAGGAAACTGGCTTGCCTGACTCCTAGGTCAGCATTGTTTTTACTACACTATTTTGTCTCTTTCCAACTCTTATGTGACTTCCCGTGTGACTTACCATGTTTGCAGCATATTCAGCATGTATATTTTTCTCATGGAAAGTAAATCAGATAGCAGTAAGCAAAACAGAGGAGGGAATTTAGAGAATTCTCCGGGTAGGTTGCTCTGGATAGAAGTACCCATTTAAATCTCTAGGGGTAAAACAGGAATAAAGACACAGACCTACTAGAGAATGGATCTGAGGATATGAGGAGGGGAAGTAAGCTGTGACAAAGCGAGAGAGTGGCATGGACATATATACACTACCAAATGTAAAATAGATAGCTAGTGGGAAGCAGCCGCATAGCACAGGGAGACCAGCTCGGTGCTTTGTGACCACCTAGAGGGGTGGGATAGGGAGGGTGGGAGGGAGGGAGACGCAAGAGGGAAGAGATATGGGAACATATGTATATGTATAACTGATTCACTTTGTTATAAAGCAAAAACTAACACACCATTGTAAAGCAATTATACTCCAATAAAGATGTAAAAAAAAAAAATTCTCTATGAAGATTGTACATAGCCCTTACAGGATATACCATATATATCTTGCAACCAAAACTAATTTAATGTTTAGAACAGGAAAAATTAGTAGCTCAAGAAATTTTCCTTAGACTCTGTCGTGAAGGTCTGTCAATTTCAAAAGTTCTTACCTTTGTTTGATGGTATTAGTGCCCAAGAGTAATTGAAAATACGCTTGTAATTCCACAAATATGATTAGATTTCACATTTTTGCATTTCAGCCTCCTTCAAGCCTGAGCCCTGGTCTTATTTGCCCTTATATTATTGCAGATAAGCACAGTGACTTGAGAGTAAGAAGCATTTGGTAAGTATTTGGTTTTGTTTTTAAGCATTTGACAGATACCTATATGCCACCATAAGTTCTGATTTAGTATGACTAGTCATTATGTCTCTCAACAAAATTCTAAATACTTCATTGTTGTTCTTGATACACACATAGACACAGGTTGTTCTTTAGTAGATTCACTGAGAAAAGTTATGTTTGCAATCCTCTTTCCAACCTAGCACTTGTTGATTAAACTGAGTCTTTAACTTATCAATCATTATAACTTGGCAACAAACATGTGTGTGTGTGTGTGTGTGTGTGTGTGTGTGTGTGTGTGTGTGTATGAAGGGGTGAAAAAGACTAACAATAGGCTTGGATTAAACAAGCACTTGAGCCTTTCTGCACTACTCCCTAGCATGGTTTCCCATTCCTTCATCTTACTATAAACAGCACTTCTCAGCCAAATATGTTTAATTTAAGATTAAAAAAAAGAAATACATGTTATATATTTTTAAATATATTTATAATATATACAATATATAATACAAAGTATATACTTAATATATAGTTTATATATTGTTATAACATATTTTTGTTTGTTTGTTTGTTTTGTTTTGTTTTTTTGCGGTACGCGGACCTCTCACTGTTGTGGCCTCTCCCGTTGCGGAGCACAGGCTCCAAACGCACAGGCTCAGTGGCCATGGCTCACGGGCCCAGCCGCTCTGCAGCATGTGGGATCTTCCCGGACCGGGGCACGAACTCGTGTCCCCTGCATTGACAGGCAGACTCTCAACCACTGCGCCACCAGGGAAGCCCTGTTATAACATATTTTTATAATTATATATACATGTATATATTCATATGTATATGTGTGTGTATTTTTTTTCTCTTTTCCAAAAGAAATTTTTAAAAGGGCCTGTTTAATGAATCTACTTATTATTGTTTCCTCTTATCTTAGGATATGTACAGATATTAGTGCAATTTATATAAATCCTGAAAGAACAAGTATTATCACCAAGAAAACATTTTATCAATTAGGATATTTCAATGTATGATGACAGACATTAACTAGATTTATTGTGGTAATAATTTCACAATATATACAAATATTGAATCATTATGTTGTACACCTGAAACTAATGTAATGCTGTATGTCAATTATACCTCAATAAAAGAAATAGAAATTTTCAATCAAAAGCATCAGAAATCAACCCAAGTTCAGCAAAAGGAAGTTGTTACATCAGATAGAACACAGAATCTACAGGAAGGCTGGAGAAAAACTCAGAACCAGGTCAGGATGGGAACCAAGACCACTGGAATTGCTAGACCTTCTTTTCAGGCTACTGCTACTGCTGAAATTAATAAATGCATGCCAATCATTACTGTTATTTTGTACTCAAGTTACTTCATTCAGTGTTCAGAGTCCTGAGAAAGAGAACTCACTTGGCTTAGCTGTAGCCATATGTTCACACTTAACTTTAGGATTGGGGAAATTATGCAGCACCAACCATATGACTTGAGGTGGCAGGGTGGGTGGAGTCCTAAATGAAAGTGAGGACAAGCCCTGGAACTGGGCTGAATGCTCCTGCGTGACCACAACAACCTCATGTAACTTCCATGGTCCATCTCCTTTTGCTGTCCCCACACTGTTCTCTCCATGCATGGACCTTCTTCTAAAATGTCCCCAAATAACATAATGTAGCTCCTTTGCTGAATACACACTCACAGCTTCTCCAAATGAAGATAATTTAAATTCTCACTACCTCCTGCACTTGTTTCCAAGTCTAGGATCTCTTGTTAGGCATCCATTTCTCCTCTAGTTTCAACATGATTCTATTTCAATGTGCAGTAAGTTATGGATTAAACAAGTATATTTAATCACCACCTGTTATGGGTTGAATTATGTCTTCCCCAAATCTACACATTGAAGTCCCAATCCCCAGTATTTCAGAATGTGGTCTTATCTGGAGACAGGGTCTTTACAGAGATAATCAAATTAAAATGAGGTCATTAGCAGGGTGGGGGAGGGAGGGCTAATTCAATATGATTTTCATCCTTATAAAAAGAGGAAATTTGGACTCAGGGACAAGGAGTCCAAATTTATTTTAAGGAATTGGGTCATGTGATTAGGGAAGCTTGGCAAGTTTAAAATCTGATGGGGGAAGGCCTGAAGGCTGGAGACTCAGGAAAAGAGTTACAATTTGAGTCTAAAGGCAGTCTACTGACAAACTAGGAAGAGCTGATGTTATAGATAAAATCTGGAGGAAGTCTGCTGCCAAAATTCTCTCTAGCTTGGGGGAACATCAGCCTTTTATTCTACTCAGGCCTTCAACTGATTAGATGAGGCCCATCCACATTATGGAGAGCAATATACTTTACTGGAACACTGAAATGTAAATCTCATCCAAAAACACCCTCAAAGAAAGATTCAGAATAATTTTGACCAAATATCTGGGCACCTTGTGGTCTAGCCAGGTCAGTACATAAAATTAACCATCACACATGGTCTTTCTGCTATGTGTACATCCTAGTACTTCTCTGTGTATCCAAACCTCTTCTTTTTATCAGACCAGGCGGATTGGATTGGGACTCACTCTGCCAACCTCATTTTAACTTAATCACTTCTTTACAGGTCTTATCTCCAAATACAGTCACATTCTGAGGTACTGGGGGTTAGGGACTCAACATATGATTTCAGGGGTGGAAGGAGGGACACCATTCAGCCCATAACACTATGATTACTGCTATACTTTACTAGCACTACAATCCGACTGTGACTACCACTGCACTAGTCCTCCTCTTGTCCTATTACTAACACTTCCAGAAAGTCCCTTCCAGTTTCAATTTTCCATTTTTCTATAAAATAGATTGTACACAGAAGATACCATGAAGCTCAAGGTTTCCACCAAGATTGCATACAAGTTCAGCCAGAGTTCACAGAACACAGCTTACATAGCTATTGAAGAATATTTCAAGACACAGGAATTTTGATCAAGGAGGAAATGCCAAACTATAAAGAAGTTATAAAGGCCAGGAAGACTGGCAAAACCGAGACCACCCTCCCAGGGGGAGTTTGAATCTGTTAGTGGTTACCAACAGCAAAGTTATCCAGCTCAGGGAGCTGAAACATTCTGGGACTAAAGACTCACCAGTAGTTGTTAGATGTCACAGGGTTCATCACTTGAATGGCTGGTCTGGTTTCCTCAGTAGTAAGAGTCTAAGGAATGTTTACCCTTCATTCCTCTTTCAAACATTAAGTATATAATTGTGTTTACCAATTTTATGGTAATCCCTAGAAAATAATTGAGAAATAATGCCAGTTAAGGAAAATGGTGAATCCACACGGAAGATATTCCAAATACACATATGCATTCATACCTTACAGATATTTTAACAGGCCAGGAAATAATGAGCTTTCTCTGTTTCATCTTATATTCCATATAAATGAAACTGTATGCACAAAGACAGTAAGATACCCAGAGATGAACACTGAGACATTCTTAAGTTTGTGTTTCCCATGGTACCTCATTCAGTGTCTTTTACATAATCTTCGTTCAGGAAATATTTGCTGAGTTTAGTAGAGAGAAGACTCTCCAAATTCTGATGATGCTAGCTTTACTGCTGCTCTATCTCTCATTCAAAAATACGTGCCATGTGCAGCTACCCTGCTAGTCACTGAACAAACAAGGTCACATCATGGATTTATCCTGAAGTTTGAGAGTCTATAAATAGTTCCAGTCAGCCCAACAGTCATTTATTCAGCCTGTGTTAGTGTAAGACGCTATAGAGCTTATCATCCAGACTGTGTGTACATGAATATCCATAATTCAAGGCAATTTGCTCTATTAATAGAGATATAAATAATGTATTCGGCATGGGGAACAGGGCTAGGACAAGGCAGGAAACCAGAACCAGTGCCAGACTGTGGAGCGGTTTGAAGGCTGAGCAGTACTCTAATTACCACTGATAAATTCTTCTGTTGCCATTGATAAAGGTTGAAAAATTTGGAGACACAAAGCCTAGATAGCCTTATTGCCCTAATAGGCACAGAATGGAGTAGTATGATAGTACTGACACCACTTCAGAGAATAACACCATTTTAGTGATAAAAAGCCCAATCTCATCCTCTCCAAAGCATTCAGTTATGAACCAAATATACCAATGTCTTTGTATTTTAATCCATATTATTGAAACAAGCCAGATTTAAAACTCTTTAATGCCATATGCCGTTAAGATAAAAATCATTAAAGGGAAAATAGTTACATAATCTCCCCAAGGCCACCATTCGGTAATTACAAGACCAGTTCACCACCCTTCCCTATTCCCCTCCATCTCTCAGACAGACATAAAAGGAGGAGGGAACAAATCAGAGAAAGAGGTGAAGGTGACTCACGAATAAAGAGCTGTGAGAGAGGGAGGAGGGAAGATAGAGAGTAAAAATCATATAGACTGCTTCCCTGGTGGCGCAGTGGTTGAGAGTCCGCCTGCCGATGCAGGGGACACGGGTTTGTGCTCCGGTCCGGGAAGATCCCACATGCCACGAAGCGGCTGGGCCCGTGAGCCATGGCCGCTGAGCCTGTGCGTCCGGAGCCTGTGCTCCGCAACGGGAGAGGCCACAGCAGTGAGAGGCCCGTGTACCGCAAAAAAATAAAATAAAAAATCATATAGACTGGGAAGAGAGTTTAGGTAGGGAGTACCTAAGGTGGGGAAGGGGTAGTTAGTTGTGAATAAGAAAATGTAAAGAATGGGGAGAAGGGAAAAAAAGGATATGATGATTCTGATTTGGATCCCTGTAATATCCTTTGAGAGATACAAGAACAGATTTCCTTTTTAATGTGGAGGAAGAGACAAGACTGCCTACTGAACAGTTTTTCTGAAATGCCACACTCTTCAGAGACTGAAACCTTGGGGTCCCCAATTTATTAGGATTGCAATAGAACCTAAAATATTTTGGTTGAAGTGAAATGCAATACATGTACACCAGACACTTGCAAACTAGCAATTAAATTCTGATTTACCCTAGAAAACTATTTTCTTAACCTAGTGACACAATTTCAAAACAATTGATATGAAAATAAAACATTTTAGGGATTCTGAAAACCCAATTAGGACATGGGTTTTTGTTGTTGTCTAACTACCTATTATTTTTCCCAGAAGCAAGCCACTTGAAGTATCTAGGTCAGAAATGAAAATCTCTCCACAACAACTGAATCGTAAATGCAAGCATTTAATGAAAGCTTCATTTCTTTACAATCTATGGAATACATTAGCCAGTTAATGTTGATCTTTTAAAGTGCCATGTCTTTTATTTATGATAAAAATATGTATATTCATGTGTGTATTCATGCCACATAAGTGGTATACACTGATCCATTTATCAAATTAATTTAAGCATGTAATAACCACAAAGCCACAAAAAAGCCAGGCTTACAATTTGTTTATTGTTAATATCTGACATCAAAAGTTCCTGGAGTCTCAAAGCTGTAACTTAAATAATTAAAAAACAAAGAAACAATTTATCACTCAGTGCTCCAGAGTACCTAAACCTTCCACAAAGCGGGCTAAATGATTAAGCATAGGTTATAATACTTAAAGGTACTGAATATTTGCATTCAGAGCCAAGATAGCTCTAAAACAAGCAACTGGGTGAGTGGGAGAATCACGCAACCTGAAGCAGATAAATACACATCCAGAGCCCCTGATGTCCACAAGATGAGTGTGGAAACAGGAATCTAAAGCAGAGGGAGAATGACTCTTAAAGAAATACCTGTGTTATAAACTGCTTATCATCATGGCTTGTAACAAGCCATCATTTAATGGCCATTAACAGGACAACCAGCTAGCAATTACTCAGAAAGTGAATACTTTTCAAATTTGTGTGAACAGTAATAATGAATGGATATGTATATAAGACAGATGTTAAGGGACTTCCCTGGTGGTCCAGTGGCTAACACTCTGCACTCCCAGTGCAGAAGGCCCAGGTTTGATCCCTGGTCGGGAAACTAGATCCCACACGCATGCTGCAACTAAGAGTTCGCATGCCGCAACTAAAGATCCCGCATGCTGCAACTAAGAGCTGGCTCAGCTTAAATAAATAAATATTAAAAAAAAAAAAAGATAGATGTTAAGACTGTCGTGGGAAGTCCCTTGCAGTCCTGCTTAAAGGAAGGACTTCATCCTTGAACAAAAGCTGAAGGTAATTCTAAACATAAGTTCCCCTATTCTCTGAGAGTAATGAAATGGGGCACAGCTCTCCTTTTGATAAAGACCCATGGAAGGGAATAAGGCTGAGCAGCAGTCCTTACCTTAGCTCCTAATCTTGAGTCCATTTCAGTCCCAAGCCATGTCCCAAGAAAAGAGAAGGTAGGGGTGGAATGAGGAGAAAGAAATGGCTCCAGAATCCATCTGGGGCAGAGGCTAATCCTGCTAACCCGCTGATATGTTGTCTGGCCAGCACTGTGTTTTCAAAAGGAGAAAATTTACATTTAAAATAAATACAGATTTCTAGCATTTCGGAAAAATTAGAAATCTCTGAGTTGCTATGCTCACTTCAGCCAGAGTTGGGTAGTTCTTGCTACCTTTAGATAGGGCAGGTGTTCTCTGGTTTACCACACTCCTCACCTCTCCCTATTGTGTTCCACCTGATCCACTTTATTCATGTGTGCTACTTGCCCAACCCTATAGGCATGAGGGTTTACCACTCTGGGATTAATGTACCTTCTAAAAGCTCCAGGCAAAACTGTCATGCGTTTACAAAAGATTCTATAATTTCCAAAGTTTTCCTGAGTTTCCAATCTGCTCCAAGGTGAGCTGCAAGACATGGAATCTTGCCTATTTATAGTTGGTTCTCTCATAATCCATACAGTACCTCAGTAAATGTTGCTTGTTACAAGCTAAGTGTAGAGTGGACCAGAATAACCCTCAAAGAGCTCTGAACATCTTTAGTTTACTCAAATCCAAACCTTTGGATCCTCGGTTGGCCTTAAACTGAAATAGTCCTGGATTGTTAGGGGATAACCAGTTGTGCTGACATGGAGGTCACAAATCAGACACCCTGCATGGGGGCAAGTTGATGTACAGTAGAAAAAGAACTTGACTAGTGCAAAGGAGGAAAAACTTCCCTCTACTATCCTAGGTTCTGTGGTTGGCCTAAGAATTAAACTGACATAAGACAGATTAACAAGAGAAAAACATGCAAATTTAGTTTAGTATTTTTATGTGCACATGGGAGTCATCAAAAGGAAAATGAAGACTCAAAGAAGCCATAAGCCTGAAAGCTTATGTATCTTTTTAAACAAAGAACAATAAATTGTGGGGATGTGACAAGACAAATGGTCTTAGGCCACAAACAGTAAATTGTGGAATGGTGACTAGGAAATATATGGGGAACCTAATGGGAGATAAGGGTTATTTTAGTAGATTTGTTTGTACAGAACCATTTCACTGTTGAATCCCAGTCTCTGGTGATAAGAATGTTCTTCTCAGTACAAGGAGGGCACCTTTTTCATAGGACATTTTATGACCTGTTTTTAGGTACAAAGGGGGACGTCAGAGAGCCCTTTTTGCATGTGCTGTTTCTCAAGCGCCTTCAGCTCAAAATAAATGCCAAAGTGGTGTATTTTGGGGTGGCATGTTCTGAACCCCTTCACTAGGCATTAGAAGTCCCAGATGTATTGATTCCATAAATAAATGCTTACTTATTGGGACTTCCCTGGCGGTCCAGTGGTTAAGGCTCTGCATTTCCACTGCAGGGGGTGGGGGTTTGATCCCCGGTTGGGCAACTAAAATCCCACACACCTCGTGGTGCAGCCAATAAAACCAAAAATAAACAAATAAATGCTTATTTATCGCTTACTATGCACTAAGTACTGAGGATACAAACATGAATACAAGATCCTTTAAAGAGTTCAGCCCAGGGAGGATTCAAATAAATAAATAGTTTCAGTGAAAGCTATATAAACTTGAGCCTGTCATTTAACCTTTCCAAACTCTGTTTTTCACCAGCAAAAAGGGGTTGACATGTCTGTTTCTTGGGGCCTTATTTCTTGCTACAGTGAGAAACAGCTGAAATAATAAGACTGCACACTTTGCAAGCCATGAAACACAGGCAGCAAGATGACAGAATTGGATTCTTCCTGCCTTTGTTTCTTAGGACTGCAATATAATAGACTGCAGTCAAAAAGGTAAGCATGAGACACACCGCACTCCAAACAGAGTTTTACAAAGAAATGGCCCCAAAGAACCAGCTGCATGCCAATCAGACTCCGCAAGTAGACGGATGACACAAAGAAG